TCCTTTCTTGCTAGGAGCGAGGTCTCCTCAATCTTCTTAAGACGAAAAGGCGACATACCAAGAGGTGAGAAGGATGCTCTCTTCTGTTGCCACAAATCACCTTGGGACTCCCTTCTTGTGTTTTGGAGCATGAGGTCTTTTCCTTTTAAATGCTGAGGGATGACCAGATGTCTCTACTTGAAAATTGGGGGAGCTCCACCCTTTCTTCTTGAGCGTCCTCCCCTTTTCAAGAAAGAAAGGAGGTCTCTTCTTGCCGAGGGGTAAACGGAGCCCTCTTCTTTCTCGTGAAGTTGGAGCGGCCTGTTTGCTTTGTTGAGATGGCGCTTTCTTCTGCCCCTTTAGATTGCTCTTAGTCTCTTCTTGTCGAGGATGAGGCAGAGGATTTTTTTGGAAGCTAGTTCAGAGGATGGGGTAGAGGGCTGCTCATGTCTTATTGAAGGCTAGGGGGAGGATCAGACTCTTCTTGTGAAGATTGAGACCAAGCCGCCGAAGAGTCTGCCGGCGACTTCTCGCTCGAAGCGCTGGCCTGGAAGCCGCATATCGATCAGAACGATCGGCGGCCGCGTTGGCCTTAGCGCGGGCTCAGCCACGACATTTCAGCATCGCACACGAAACCCGGACAGCTCAGTCCTCACTTCTTGAAAGCTATCTCTCTTCTATCCCTTGAGGAGGAAGAGGGGACGACAAGGAGCTCCTCTCTCTTCTTGTCGACTGAGAGGCAGCCGGAGTTCTTTTTTTCCCGTAAGTTGGAAGGGTTCTCTGCTCCTTTGAGATGCTGCGGTAGAGGATGTGCCAAGGGACCTCTTCCTTACCCTTTTGGGGATAAGAAGCTCATTTCTTGCGGACTTGCGGATGACGAAGCAGCGAGCTCCCTTCATTTATCGTCAGAGGAGATGGAGACTTACAGGGAGGTAGAGGAGCTCGCTGCTAGGAATCAGCTGAATGATTTGGAGGGACTTTCTCCGTGTTTTCGTTGAGGGTTGGGGGGAATCTCCACCCTTTCTTGATCCGTCTGTCTACATTCCAAGGAGCCCCACCAATGTCGATGAGGCGAGACGAAAGATTCTATACTTGTATTGAGTATGTATAGAGAGACGTCGGTCCAGTACAATCGCGATATACCTACGTCTATAGTATGCAATGAAAACCCACAGTTTCAGCTGGCGACTATATCCTGTTTAAGCCGGCCACCCCCCCCCCCCCCCCTATCAGACCATACCATTGGGGGGGGGGGGGGGGGGCTGGGAACGCCAGACGCCTGACCATATATATATATATATATATATATAAACCATTTCGTGCACAGGTGGAGCTCACCACTTTGAAAGATGCCTTTGGCAAGGACTTACGCGGGATCCGGCCTTACAGCTGAATGAAACCAATCGTGACTATGGATGGAGAGACCAGGGCAAGACGACTGTGGCTCAGGATGAGTGCCACATCCAGCATCGCTCTGGACGAGGCAAGCATTGTAATGCCTTGTTTGGATGTGGCCAGCAGAAGTGAAAGGCCATCATCACGGTTCCAGCGAAGCGGGCACTTCAGGCGAGTATGGCAGATTCTGCAATAGAACTGTCGGCAGACGACACCATGTGACATGAGGTGGCCCCACATGAGGTTTGCGTTTTGATATCTTGTGTGTGTGTGGTGTTCAGGTCACCACAGGTGGGATCTGTCCTGCCGGTGAAGATTTTGCAAAGCGCGAGGCTGGATCAGCATGGCTAAGGAAAGAAGACAGAGGACACGCCACTGCAGAGCTTCCAGTCCTTGGCAAAGGACTGGCAACAGCTGCCTTGGTGGGCACAACTTGCGATGTTGGTCTTGCGGGAGGCGAGGCGTGTCTGTTCGGCCTTCGGTTCACGGCGCAGTGCGACGAGTAGGGCTTTTGGTGCACTGAGCCGATGCAGCTTGCGCTCAAGGCGAAGTCAGGCGATACATCCTTTCTCAAGGAATGGGTAGACAGCTTGCCTCGAGAGTTCCCAGATGCTCGCACCAGAAGAGCATGAACATCCAATTCTGTCAGTGTTAGTGCTTGACTGCCGACAATGTCAGATATAGCTGCCACCACAGCGACATGCTCATGCAGGTATACAGACTCGCATGATCTCTATGATGAGGTAGAAGTTAGAAGCCCGTGCGCTCTTGGTTTCGGCTTGACTCACCTGAGGAAATTCCCATGAACTGGACAGAGGAAGACCTGGAGCTGCTAGAATATCCGCCAATCCTTCGACAGCCTCTTGTCTGCAAAGACTACGTTTATTTTGACCCCAAGCACCTTCAATGCCAAAGAAGGCTTCTGTCATCTTCTCTCCTTCCCAGCCGAACCCTCACGAAACTTCATTGACCTTACGGCCGGGGTCGATGCTTGCTGTGACCAGCGACCGGGAGAAGGTGGCACACAGACTTCAGCTTGAGCTTCACGGAAGTGCCCGCAACTTTTGGAACCTGAGAGGGCTCCGAGAAGGAAGATTCTAGAGATTCCTTGACAAACTCGCCTGCCAAGCTTCCTGTGGGCCGAAAACTTGATCCTTTCATGTCTCGTCGTCGGCTGAAAGCGACAGCGTGGGTCGCACGTCTTCAGGATCGAGAAGCAGCGCCGTGAGCTTCAAGAAGCTTTTGGTCAGGCGCAAAAGTGCCGCCTGCGCTTCACTGAGGCCAGGCGGCTCAGCTCATGTGTTGAGATGTCTTAAGGATGCTCGAATTCGTTCGTATCTAACCGCAAAGGCAGAGTTCACCTGGGCGGTCCAAGTCGTCCGGAGCCGTGCCTTCAGTGGACCGTACGAGGGCCGCAATGCCCAGGACGACTCTAAGATGCACTCGCTACTCGCTGGTGGTCTTGCATCGTCTTGCAGTCAGTGCAGATGTGATTGTCAGTGTTGTGCCTGAACGACAGGACCGGTTGGGACAGCTGGCGTTCACCGCTGCCTTGTCAGTTCCCCAGGAAAAAAAGTCCGATCGCGCTTCATTGTATTTCACGCTGTGAAGGGCCGGTGCGGGCGTCGCCTCCGGCGCGCTGTCGTTGGAGGCAAGCCTTAACGGCGCCCTGGCGGCTGCGCTGGCCATTCCGTTACAGGCACCTTCGTTTCATTCTGCATGCAAAATGAGTCTACTTCTGGCAAGCGTCTGTATTCTTCAATGGGTCTCAGTTGCAGGACTTCCTCGTTGGACAGCTTCCAGGCTGCAAGAGATGCGCGATGTGGCGGGATGACTGGATTCGTTGATTCCTGCCTATTTCGCACGGATACGCTCGCACTCTGCCTGAGCTACTGAACAGGTCATGTCCTCCCCTCTAGTTCAAAACCTGACTTGACGGCCGAAAGGGGCTTCCGGATGTGAGGACTTCCAAGCTGAAGAGACACGTGGTTTGTCCGGTTGTGGATTACCTCAACCATGCGCCTTGGTATGCGTGGACAGGGATTAACTATCGTACCCTTTGCATATGCCATGATTCGCATCAGTCCTTCCACACACCATGGAATCGGAACGTGCGACTTTGGTCCAGAGCTTCGGATGGTCGTGTTTTCGTCTTACCCGTGATGCCGTTCTTCGCGATGATTGGAGGATGAGATCGGATTTCGATCTCTCCTCTCTTTGCGGACTTGCGAACATACTTGTGGTATGCTTGCCGCCATGCTGTAAGGCTGTATGACGGTTCTGAGGTGTGCGTGTGTCGACGGCTGATAGGATTCTCATCCTTTGGCTTGTGGCAAGCTGTCTGCGCATACGAGATGGGGGGGGCACCACCACTTTGGCAATACGGTCACTCGGGGTTGTGATCGCATAGTTCTTTCTGTCCTGCCGGGATTGGTTTGGGCTGTGTGGTTGCCAATGTGAAGGGCAAGAGGAAGCAGAAGGGATGTCTTTTGCCATGCCGTTCACAATCAGAAGCAAGATGGACAAGGAGGGTGTGCCTTGCAGTAGGAGGCCCTTGGTGCCAGGACAGTGATGCCATCTCCGACATCGCTTATGAGTATTTCGGGAATGCATTCGTCGTACGGGTGAACGGCACCTTTCAGGACACACCGGACTTGCCCGGCTGGTTGATCTGCAGACCGCATAGCTGGCTTATGGGAGAATCTTGAGCGCTTTTTCACAGGACGGTGAAGAAGTCTGCATCAACTACGGCGAGAAGCGGAGCAACGACACCCTGCTTCAGTTCTATGGCTTTGTTGAAAGGCAGGGTATCTCACTAGATCCCATATGAAAACCGTATTTGGTCTGCAGAGCTTTGGGAGCGAACTGGAATTCTGCTCATCGCGAACAGAACACCACGGCTTTGTAACAGAAATACCTGCAGGGACAATGCAAACGATGCTTACACCGTGGACCTGTTGCGGCACCTCGACGAGGAGGCGGCAGCGAAAGGGCAAGCACTGGAGGCGCATTTTTATGCCAAAAGTATGCAGAAGTGAGACGGGCTCTGACGGTGAATGCTCCTAACCGGCATTATGTCAAGGTGAGGCTGTCGCGCACTGGGCCGGACGATGAGTCCTTCGAAAGGTGGATTGCTGCCGTTTTCGGTCTCGGTCTGGTCATCCCCTTCAGGGCAGAAAGCCGTGCCAAGTTTGTTTCGGATGCTGAGCATTTGAATGTCGCAAAGCCCATAGCCATAGTGGCCCTGCCGTCGCAAGGCTGCTGTCGCTGCTAGCTGGTGGCGGAACCCCTGGTGCAAGTGAAGAAACCATGGCTTGGAAGGCCCGGCCGGATGAGAGAGAGTGCCCCTTGCTTTTTGTAGCCTCTTCGCTGAGGCTGTTTCCATCGCCTGTGAAGCAGAGCTCCAGCGGCGTAGTGCCGGAGAAGCTCGGGAGCTAGAGAGTGCAGGCAAGGCTCCCCTGGGCCCTTCTTCCATGTGCTCAGCATGTGCTTGCTTGCCTTGCTCGACCCTGCTCGCGCTCGGTTGGCTCCAGGCACAGGCATTCGGGCGCTGGCAGCGAGATTTGCTGCTGAGAAGGAGAAGGTGGGCTGGTGGCAAGGAAGGAGGCATATAGGCATATCGTCACAGTCCAATCGTTCTCCCTGCGGTGATAACCTCACAGCTCACGGGTCTGTTTACTTGGTTTCGGAAATCCATTGACAAGGTCTTACTAGCTTGCCGTGCACATGCCGAATCAAGGCCCGATTGTCCATGAATCTCCACGGTCTTTTTCTGCTGCGAGTCACGGCTTGCAAACACATTCAGAGACCGTGTCAAAGACCTTGTCATCAGGAGCAGCATGCAATTGCAGCCATGTTGTTTACAGAAGGCTTGAGTACCAACGGCCAGCGGCATGCACCGCTCTGGTCGCCGATCTCCCTCGCCAAGAGGGGTTCCACGCTCGCGGTATGGCCAAGAGGAGAACCGACATGATGCGCATGAAAGCTTGCTGCCTGGGCCTCTCGCCCCGTCGTTCACGCTGCAACCTCAGGCTATTGCATCCCGACACTGCTTTGCTGCAGCTGCAACTGGTTCGTTGTTGAGCATCAGTGGAGGAAGCTTGTTCGAGAGCACGGAAAGTCACCAGCAGATACAGTTGGGTCCACGCCCGCGGCCCCTCACATGCATGGCCGGTTCGCCCTGCGGTAGGTGGTGGGCCATTGGGGAATCGTGCTTTGGAGGACGCTCTGGTCAGGTCATCGTCATGAGCAGCGAGAGCAAGGATGTCGTTTCCACGATGTCATTGGGTGTGCGTCGATGTGCACGTTATCTGTGCTGGGCGGCCCAGGGTGAACTCGTGGCTGCAATTGTAGAGTTTGAAAGCGAGCATTCGACATCCGCGGAGCAGCAGCTCATGGTGTGGTCTTGGCCATCTGGTGAGCGTTTAGCAACCTCCACTTGTGGTCGGGGAACTCAAGACATCGCCGGCTCCCCTGACGAGGCCGTCCTGCTGACCGTGGGGCCTTATGGAGCAAAAGTGTGGACTTTGGTACGCTCGCATGACTCTATTACTGGGAGGGCAGCTGGGGGCATCAAGCTCAGTTGTGGGGGTGGATTGCTGCCGCTGCGACTGCTGGGGCGTTCCCTGCCTATCGGGCCAGTGGGTCCCACAGCTCTGGCCGTATGCAGCCGCTTGGTGGGCACTGCTGCGGCAGGTCGCAGGCGACCAGCTGAGGATTCATTAGTTGCCGTCGCATTTGGCCCCTCGTCTTGCATGGAAAGGTGTTATCATTTTCAGGTGGCCTTTTTGTGATCAAGCCCTGGACGCTCAGGGAGAGACGTCAACAGAGACGTTGGATCAGCATGAATACAAAACAAAGAGTAAACTAGTTCAAGAGCAACGAGGAAACTGGAACAATCAGTTTCGTAGTTCTGGCATGAAGACAGGAACCGCAGAAGCTACATCTAGGTCTAATCCAAGAACAGCAGAATATCAAGACGACAGTTGAACAGGGAAAGCTCAGAAGCAACATTGAGCAACAACGACTGCTTGAAGAACGGAGGCATCCAAGAGAGAGAAACACTGACTGCACCGATGCTACATGAAGGGATGGGTAAAATACGACAACCTGTAACAAAAGCGCAGTATGTGACAAGGATGGTCTGCTGTGAGCATATTGAGCAATTCATATAGAGTCGTTCAGATGTTGCCCCGACCCAGTAACAGTTCAAAAACAGGGTTTAGACTAAACACACAGGCCAAAAAGAGCACAAGGAAACGTGTTTCAGGTATGCTTCGCACAAGGACCAGAGAAACACATGTTCGGCACATCCTTCTGCAGCCTTAACCCCAGCCAAACACCCTCTGCCATCCCGGCCCCCAACCCTCAGTCCACAGCAACCAGGTTTACACTATTACTAGTATTGTTACTATTACTATTACCAACTTGCAACTCTGAAAAGAATAAATATTTTGCATCTCTTGTAGAATATTGCAGACTGTATAACTACTTTGCATAACACGAAAACCTGACGATGGTGACTGTAACACTATGCCACTCTGTGCCCATGAGTATATGATTGTAAGACTGACAGACCAAAATACTTTGTATTACTTTCCATATTCTAGACCGTATCTGGGTTTCAAAAAAACACCATAAGACATAGGTGGTAATGGCATCGTAGTGTACGCCACGCCAAGAATGTCTAGGAACCACATAGGCTCAGATGAGTCGCTATCTCAAGGGTGGACGGGGAGTGGAGACAGCCTGCCGGCAGGCCGACGAGCCAGCTAGGCTCAGATGAGTCACTGTTTGAAGGGTGGACGAAGAGTGGAGACAGCCTGCCGGCTAGCCCACGCTGGGTTGGACAGAGACAGAGCAAATCTGAGACTTAACTCGATCTTCCCAAGTGACTAGAAAACATGAAAGCACAAAAAAACGCACAAACTAGCAAGCACGCAAACAAAAAACACAAGGAACAGCACACAAAAGCACAAGGTAGCAAACATAGGCACAAAAAATAGCACCGCAAAAAGCACCAAAAGAACACACACATCCAAACATGTTTTCTACCAAAACAAATTCAAAAACACACGGAAAAAGCACAAACAGGAGAGCACAAACATACCCACAAAAAAAAAGCACAAAACGCAAGCTAAGAAACACACTCACAAAAAACAGCACCGCAAAAAAACACAAAAAACGCACAAACCCCCAAACACACGCACAAAAAAACACAAGGAACAGCACACAAAAAAACAGAAACTAGCAAACAGGCACAAAAAATAGCACCAGCAAATTCTGACTAAGCAAATTCTGACTAAACTAATTTTCCAGAACCGGCCTCCTGGCCGACCCCCTGCCTGAGGCAAAATTTTCCCGGAGCTGGAGCCAGCCCCACAGATCCCGCAGGCCACCTCACAGGTCCCCCCATCTTCATCTTTCTGGGGCAGCTGTGTCTGGCCTCTGACGGCCTCCCCGACAATCGCAATCTACTTTTTGCTAAGAAAAAAGCACGCGCGGGCACACAGGAGTGCACACCATCACGCCTGACCCCAAAAAGGCAGACTTTTGACTTGGCTTCAGAAGTTAAAACTCCAGCCTCCACCCCGTCTGGAGTTTCACCTGGTTGCTGAAGGTTGGACTAGCGTGGGCTACATCGGGCTGCTGGTTGCAGGACGATGCGGGAGGGTGTTTGGCTCAAAATGAGTGTCCGGCGCCCGGTATGTTGTCTACTGGAAGAGGAGAGAGTTGCAGAGGAAAGGAGACGCATTTGAGTGGCATTACTACAAAAAGATAGGAAGCAGGGATATGCTTGGATATGGCTATAAAATCATATCATACATGGGTGCTGGATGATCATACTTCATGCGAAGATGATTGAGTTTTGCTTGTGCGTTTTGTTGTGGGTCTGTTTGCGGTCACTGTTACTGGGCCGGGGCAACACCAAATTAATAATTTAATAATTTAAGAGGATACGTTTGTTCGAATATGTACCTGTCTCCTTGCGTCACGGAGGTGGGCCAGCTGCCAGAAACTGGTGCTAGGATTGGTGAGGGTTTCGGGGCGGACTAGCAGTTGGCCATAGGTGGCTCGATGGTCATCCTGAGATGTGTCAGTGTCGGGGTGCTGTGGGGCTCCGCAAAGACAGGCAAAACTGGGGCCGGCTTCACTCCTTCGTACAACCGGGTAGTCGTCATCTGTTGGTGCATCCACATTTTTCCGCAGGCACTGGTAGATGAAGGAAAATTGTGGTGGCCGCTGACTTTTTCAAGCTGCTCTTGACCCAGCGCCCAGCTCACAGCGTGTAGAGAGGGCATCACGCACGCGTCAATCCAGTCAGTCTCCTCGCGAAATTAGGCTGCTTGCTGCGCTGCAATGGTTCTTCCGCAGATCAAAAGGTTCGCTAGCTGGAGAGTGCGGCAAGGTTCACCATGTGGTATCCTTCGGCCCGCATGGTCGACCTCCCAACTTTTGCTGACGCTGGAGTGCGCACAATGTCACAAAAATATGAGTTTATTTCCATTGTCTCCCATCTGGGCACCACTAAGCAGCAGGGGTGCCATCGTTCAGCCCGTTTCAAGATGTATATAAACACAGGAACAGTTGATGCAGCTTTTGCAGGAAATGCTCTGAAACGCTAATTCGTTGGCCCTGTACACAAATCGCTCCTGTTCGGCATGTGATTTGTTGAGCTGTGTTTCGCATCGGTTGACAAGTCCTGTGTGAAACAATTTCTTGCGTAAGTAACCCTCGGGAGCATGCAAGGCAGGTGGACATATCACCTTCTGCAGCCGGGGGCCTCAAAAGCCTTAGCAACTCACTTCAAACAAACCTTCAGTCGCGACCGGCTTTTGAGTGAATTCGGAGGTGATTGTTGTGGTCCGGGCCTAGGATGGTGGAACCTTGAACCATCTTTCAGACGCCAAGCATCTTGTTATGAGCTTTCGGACACTGAGCTTGCTTGCATGAACGCGCTGCATGATGCAGCCTTTGTGGTCAGGTTCCTTTTCATCTTGAGGGCACTACGCTTGTGCGTAACATTGGCATCCTCTAAAACGTCGATTATTCCGCCAGCATTGCTTCGTTGACCTTGCCAGCTCCCAGTACAGAAGCTCCAAGTGCTGAACAGAGCAAAGCCAAAGGGCAACTTCTGGCCCCTCAGCACAGTTGCCATCTCAGTCATCGGTCCTAGATCCCTTTTTGAAGAAGGTGAAACTCAGCCACGTCATTGATCAAACCAATGATTCCGAAGCGTCCGTGTTCGGCAAGGGCGAGAGTCAGAAGGCGAAGGAACGCTTCCAAAAATCATTTGGTGAACCCCTTGTAGAAGAAGAACCCATGTGTGATCAGCTCGCAGCATTCAAAAGCGGCGGCTTGAGCAACGGCGGTTGCGGAGGCCTTTTGATGAGTGCCAATAAGGTTTACCAGGTTACCAGATAGAAGCCTAACTCCTCTCACCTCTTCCTGCTAGGCGATTGCAATGCTCGCCTGGACCCCAACATTGACGTATCCCATTCTCACGTTGGGCCCCACGTGGTAGGCCGCAGACAAACCATCCCAGATGTGGATAGAGATAACGCTCTCTTTCTAGTCGATCTCCTTGAAAGCCACGGCTCAGAATTGCCCCAAACATATCATAACCTACCTTTTCGGAATCGGGTATCCTATAAGGAAATGACCTGCAAAGACCCCCTTCTTGAAGGGGAGGATGTCGCCGATTGGACAGCCCTCGATTACGCCATTACTCCTCAGGGC